CCCCCCTTTTTTCCTTCTTTCTTTTTCCTCCAACTTCTTAAACAAGTTTCAAAATAAAATACCCTTCACCTAAATTCATCAGCTGTTAACAAATTTTCCACATATGCACATTCTCTCTCCATGTGTGCATATGCACACAAATTTTTGAGGAAACCTCTGAAAATTATAGACATCAAGACCCTTCACTCCTAAATACTTCAGCATGTATCTCACCAAGAACAAGAAAAATGTCCTATATAACCACAATTACGCCAAAAAAATTTAACACTGATATAAAAATATCTAACATCCAGTCTATATTCAAATTTGCATAATTGTTCCAATAATGTAATTTACAGATTTTTATTGAATACAGAAACCAATCAAGCATTATGGAGGACATCAGTTGTCACTGTTTTATTCTCTTTTAAAAAACTAGAATAACTCCCCAGACTTCTTGTATATTTCATGATGTGGACATTTTAGAAAAGTTCAGGCAGTCATTTTGTAAAACGTCCCTCACTTTTAACTTGTCCAGCTGTTTCTTCACCTTTGGATTCAGGTGAAACACTGTTGTCAAGAACACTGCATTAGGGATGTGTCTGGCTCACTGCATCACATCAGGAGTCGCATACCTGAGCTTTGTTACCATTATTGGTTATGTTATGAGCCATCCATTGGTTAGGGAGACCATCCCCAGCTTTCTCTATTATAAATGGATTTTCCTTTTGTAATTAAATAATCTGCAGGGTGATATCCTGAGACTGTAACATTATCCTACTAAGTTTTCAACCAATGGTTTAGCACTCACTGAGAACACTTGACTGAATCTATTGTTGCATGTTGCAAAAGGAGTTTTATTAAAATGCCTTTTCTTGGCAAAATAAAATATTAGTAACCTTATGTCATTCAACTCACTTGTATACATTCCCCCTTCTCAATCTATGGCTAACACATTCCTCACCCTCTCAGTGATGCTTTCTACAAACAATCTTTCCATCTTTAGTTTTCATTACTTCTTTATATAATTATATACATTATAAATGGCAATACAGTTTAAAAAACAGCAATTTTAACATAAGACCACACTACTCTAATCCATGCCTTTATCTACACTATTCCCAATTGAATTAATGAAATGCTTTCCCCATTACAGAATCTTACTTCTTGAAAACCTATCTAATCCAAGATTCATTTCAAAAGGCACCCAGCTATGAAACCTTCCCCAATCCATCCAAACCAGAGCTGTGATTCCTCCTTCCATTGAACACCATAGAACTCTACTGATACCTTTCTTATGCCGTCCATCTTATTTTAACAGGTACAGGTTTTTTTCGGGGTAGGGACTTAGATTTTCCTTTCTGTTGGGTAAGTAGGTAGAAGAGGGATTACTGGATCATAAGATAAGTGTATGTTCATAAGAAAAGTGTATGTTTGGGCCGGCCAAGTGTCTCGTTGGTTAAAAGTTGGCTTGGAGCGCGAGCTCTGAACAGTAGGGCCGCCGGTTCAGATCCCACATGGGCCAGTGACGCTGCGCCCTCTACAGCTAAGATGGTGAACAACAGCTTGTCTGGAGCTGGGCTGCCGTGAGTCGCCGGCGACGGCATACGCTGCAGTGGGATGCCGTAAGCTACCGTGAGCAGCCAGCAGCCAGTGAGAGCTGCCGTCCAATGGCCAATGACTGATCTGCCTCAGCTGGGAAGTGCAATGATCACAATACCAACATGGGCCAGTGAAGCGATGTCCTCCACAACTAGACTGAAGAACAAAAGGACTGCAACTTGTCTTTTCCCCTTCCCCCAATTCCCCAACTCTGTTCCCCTCCCCCAAATCCCCAATAAAATCTTTAAAATAAATAAATAAATAAATAAATAAATAAACATTCCTTGCGAGTTCAAATTGTCTACAATCTCTTCTTCCATTCCTATCAACATAACAATGGGAGACTAGTTTATCTACTATGATGTTATTAAAACAAAACACAGGAACAGTTTAGATATATATTATCCTCTGTGAGTAATTGTGTCATCAATCCAACCGAGATTAATTAAAAAGCAAGAAGCAAACTCACTTGCCTTATTATAAACCTTCAATATTGATGTACAGTGTTCTCAATGCACAAAGACATGTAATATGCGGAATCACTATTTCACTTCTAATATTTCGTTTAGTTATGATTGGAAAATGACTAAAAACTTACAAGTGTAAGAGGGACTCTATCAATTGCCTACATATATATTTTTAAAGAATAATATATAGTTTTTGTAATTA